ACCTTTGGCCTTTCCCCCCTGTGCCGTCTCAAGCCTTGCTCTTCTTGGGGAAGTCTTGGGATATTCAGCTGGACCATCTCTCATGCTCTTGGCCACAGTCTTGCCTGTGGCTGCAAGAGTGCAAAGTGGAGCTTAAGTTCATGTTTGAAAACAAAATTCGGCGAGATGCGACGGTTGACGGGCTAAGGCCACCCAGAAACCACAAAAACACTCCTTCAGAGCCGAGTAAAACCCATGTCAAAAAAGCAAGCGCTCACTTCCAAAAACCACAAAAACCTATCCCGCCGTCTATTAGAGTCTAACGGGCCATCACAAGTACAACAAGCGCAACAAGTGCCAGCAGCAACATAGAAGCAGGCTCCAGCAGGCGAGTAGACCGCAGAGAGAGTCACCAAGCACGATCGCTCGTAAGCTGCTCAGGTGCTTGCTCTCAGTTGCAAAGAGCATTGCTTGCTGTTTCAAGATTGCAGAAGCGCTGAAGTGCCTCAGGCCAAAGAAGAGATCAGCCACTTAGCGCAAACAGCAAACTGCCTGCTTAAGGAGCTTCAAAGAACAACCTGAGTCATTGCTGTGCTGTGGCTCCAGTTGCTTCAAGGCTGTCGAGGCTGGCGCTCGGCAAAGAGTAAAGGCAGTGGCCACGTGAGCACACGATGTACGTGAGCGTCTGTTGTGAAGGCGGAAATGACAGCTTTCTCCTCAAAGGCAGAGATGGCCACAAACGCGAGCTGCCTTCGAGCCAAGCCAAAACCTCCCCCCCCCCCAGAGCAAAACATGGTCAGGAACTTTGACGTTTGCGGTAGCGGTGCGACGCGCCAACGTGCGACGCGCCTCTTCATCGAGCACAAAAGTGATTGACAAACTTGCCTTCCGTCATGTCAGCATCGCAGCATCTGCGAGAAAGGCTGAGCCTCAGAGGTAGTTTTCATTTTCTTTTCCATGATCCCTATATAACCCCTACATTATATAGAAGCTTTGCATTAAGCCAGGCCCAGGCTGACTGTGCGCTCTGACGCTTAGGGCACAGAGGGCACAGCACCGGAAAGGCTTTGAGGCTACACCGGCGCTAAGCCGTTACGGACGTCAGTCACATGCTGGCACATCTGTAAAGCCCGAGCGTCTGAGCCTGCTTTAAAGCCTTCTTTGGCATAGACTTTGTCCTAAAGAGCTCAAAGCAAGCTCTTTCTGCCCAATGCTCTTTTTTTGCGAAGTTTGCTTACTCCAAAACTCTGTGCGTTTGCTTGATGCAAGCTACCGGGCTGGCGTCGTCGTGAACTACGCATCCAGTCGCAGAGTCGCAGCAGGTAACACCATCAGCACGAAGTGCAGCAATGCAGCTTCAACTTCAAGCAAGCACGGGCAGATGTCTTGAAGTCATGAGAAGGCAGCACGATGCCTGCAATTCCTGCGATGCTGCGTGAATACTGTGAATATTATGCCCTTCCAGAAGAAAGCTTGAAAGTCAGCCAAGAAACCGTCCATGGCATCCATGGATTCTTTCATTCATGCTCGCTTGCTTCCAGCCCGTTCTCCCAACACGTTTTGGCGTGACGAACCAAGGGCACACATCAAGCCACTAACTCGAAAGATTGGGCAAGGCTTGCAGACACTTGCCCGTCATAATTGGGACCTTCGGCCGATGTGTGACCATGAAAATTGATTGGCGCTTTGCGGTGCACACAGTATTGCGTGGTATCATGTGCCTACAAGTATCTAAGTATCCTAGCACTGAGCTGTTCTGAACGTATCTTGTTAGTGTCTTGTCGGCATGGCTTCGATCAAGGCACTTCGCATGCAACTTGTCTTGTGTAGCGGCTAGTACGGGTGCCTAGATTTCCGAGCACTGATATCTGTATCTACTGTACACCGAGTTAAGCAGCTTGGTTCGCCGTTTTAACCCCTGAGCTTGATGGCCCATGGTCGGCAAACATGGCACCGGAGGTCCTGACTCTGCTCTCAAAAAAATCTGCTGTCTCCCTAGACCCTCCTCCTCCTCTCTATTAGGGCCTAAGTACCTACTATTAGGGACCATATATCCTCAATTAAGGGTACAAGGAGGGTCCTGGTTCGCTGTCTCCTGTATTCTTCTGTGTCCCGTGCTTGACAGGTGGCTCTTGGCTCGATCTCGAGCATCTGCGCAGCAGCTCGAGGCGCGCAGTGCAGGCAGTGCAGGCAATTCTGAGCTTCTGCAATCTCGCCGGGGTGAGGTGAAGAAGAGCGGGCCGAGCTTCCGAAAAGCAGGCGGTGACCCCGAGAGCCAAACTAGCAGCAACGATATACAAACCATGCGGGTGGGTGCAGTGGCAGCAGTGGTTGTAGTTCTGGTGTTGCTGCTGCTGCTGCTGCTGCTGCTGCTGCTGTTGCGGCTGCTGGTTTCGGGCCTAGCGGCATTGCTCGCCTGGTCCCAAACAGAGTCCCAATCGGGCTGATAATGCTCCAGATCATGATGTCTCATCCTTAATTCAACCCAAAATGTAACCCCAACTGTGCTGATGACGCCCTCTGATCTCAAAATCGAGCGTGTTTTTGACCGCATTGCTTCCGATGGATGCTCTTTTGCACTGTGATGTTCATCATACTTTGCCGGAATGATATTCCCACTCATGACCAAGTATGACAGAAGACTCTTCCTCCTCCATGTTTTGGATGACAGTGCTCTGCACAGGGAAGTGCAACCTTGAGCTCTGCATCGCAGAGAGTGCACCAACATGGAATCGACTATGACCCATAACAGCACAGTGGGGAACAAGGAGAGCTGCAAAGAGGAGGAACAGCAGCGACGTTATAGGAAAATCCGCAACCTTGCAAACCTGGCTAAATCCTGAACACAAATCCTAGAGCCCACGCCTTGGACCCTGTCTCCTCAGACCCTAAAGCCTTAAACCCTGGATCCAGATGTGTGTCGCAATGTGTAAATCCGAAACATGAAAGCCCGTGAGCGCTGCTGGCGCGGGCAGCATTTGGACCGAAGCATGCACGGGAAAAAGCTCACCAGCCACTTACACGCTTCACACATCTGCTCAAGGAAACATCCGCAGACATCCCACGAATTCTATCGCATCATGAGGTTTTGGATGCTGTGCTCGTTGACGCTGACACGCTGCTAATCAAGATTGTGCTGATTCATTGCCATGTAAGATCCTCTGAAAGAAAAATTAATCATGGGTGCCGTGACAGGAGGATTTAGTTTTCCCACTTCTTTGCGTCTCTGTTTTTGTCAGCCAAACTCTTGAATCGAGTTCCCAGGGAGGTACATTGAAAGCTGCCTTTCGTTTATTTACCAAGAGCAAGTTCGGAAGTCAGTTTGCTCCAACTTTGAGGCTGGGACGACTCGAGGCCTTTCGCGTGCCTCGGCCGGTAGTCCGGTAGTCAGAGGGCAAAGACGGCAAAGAAGCTGAGCAAGTTCTGAGTCCTTTTTTCGAGGGGCACTAGAGGCGGAGTCTTAAGTGAGGAATCCCTAACCAGCTTCTAAATTGCGCTTCTTTCGCCTTTCAATCAGGCTCTGCGACAAAAGGGCGAGTCCCAGGACCAGGCGAAGGCGAGAATGAGTTGGTGAAAGAGGGGCCTGTTGTGTAAAAATAAAAAAAGCCGCAGCTTCACCAAGGATCCCCAGCCGGCCTGGAATTTGATACTTGGCTGCATTAGGCAGCAAAGTCTAGTATGTGGACACCACTCAATCTGAGGACGCGGCAAGAGTCGCGCAAGAAGCCTGTTGTCACGGTCTCGGAAAACTTAGCAGAAGCGTGCATTAGTTTCCCCAAAAGACAGCTGAGAGGCCCGCAACTCCTTGTTGCAACCCAAGCCCACGCCCAAGTCACGGGAGGGGGTAAGGGGGTCGTCGAATCCTAGAAGCCTCTGCCAGGGGTGGGCCTGAGATCAAGCCCTCCAAACCAGCACCTCCTCCGTGAGACTCTCGGTGACAAACCCGAAGTTGAAGCCCAAAACCTACAAAACATCTCCAGGCCTGATGTCCGGTCCCGGAGACGGGCAGAGGAGCGCTTGGAGCCTCCCAGCCAAGGAGCCAAGGCCCCTGTCACAGCTGTAGCTTCCCAATTATACTATAGTAGTTTCCATTTTAGTTTCCATTATCCCTATATAACCCCAATATACTGTAGTGGTTTGTCACTGTCACAGGCAAAGCTTCATTTTTACGAGATGCGCGCTGCACAGGCTGATGGACCAACGGCAGACCCAACGCTGCCCTGCTGCACAGCTAATCGCAGCTAGCTTTCAGGTTCCAGCCAAAGTAGAAACAGTTTCTGTTTGGCATTGGCATTGTTTTCTCAGGCCACACGGCCTGCTGCTTGGAGGGATTTCAAATGCCATGGCTTCAGCTTTTTCCCCTTCTGCTGCCTTCGCCAGGTGAAGGTTCAAGAAGTGAAGCAGGCGCAGGCCTTGAACGCCAAAGGATAGTTTCCCTTTGAATATGGGGGACCCAATATAGACCCCAATATACTATAGGTTCCCTATATAACCCATTATAGTAGATTCCATGTTCTTTTCCATTGTCCCTATATAACCCCAAAATACTTAGTCCAGCACTTGTCTCCAACTTGTCGCTAGGTTCGGTAGGTCACCGCACTCGCGGTCGGGGTCGGGGAGCTGGTCGGGGACGTGGAGGCGCCACGAAGGCAAGACTGCTCAAAGCTGTGACACACTCTTTGGCCAAATGGCCTTGAGCCGAGGAAGTCCCAATGATCGTGGCTTCGTACAGAGGCTACACTCGCGAATTTGATTTTGAGTAGATGTAGCCGTAGCTGTCCTTGACTTTGGACGGAGCGTTTGCAAAAGTCAGGCGCTGTGCTTTGAAAAGACAGCCTGCAGACTGAACACTGGATACTCGCTCTTCTTGGATGCAACTTTTTGCTGGAACTTCACATCGACCTACATGCTCCACAGAATCCATCTTACTGTGTAGGAAAGGTTGAGGGAGTACGCCGCAGAGGATCTCAGCTCCTCAGCGTAGAAAAACCTTTGCGCTGGAGCTAACGACGCCTCAGTCCATGGAGGCAGTATGGCGGTGGCTAGCCTTGTGCGTATGTGCTGGCAGCGCCGGGAACGATGCATGCGATCTTCAAGCTGATCGATGCTCTGAGGGAAGTGGAGCAAGTGAGGCCACGGCACTGCTACAGCTCGCCTCAACCCTGGAAGCGTGCCAAGGTTGCAAGAGCATGCAGGAATATGTAGGCATGCAGAATGTTCAAAGAAGAACGTATGCTGAGAGGCGTTCCAGTTTCAACGAGTCCTATTGGTACCCTGTGCGGGGCCTGGACGCCGGAAGGTCAGGATGGTCCCAGCGCGCCAGCGGTCCTTTCCCGCTCTCGGCTCCCTCGTGGAGCTTCGAGATCCCAGGCTTGAATTTCCATCAGACGGCCCTCCTGCCATGTTTGCCACTGCCACCAGTCCCCAAAAAGCACAAATTCCTGTTACCCACAAGGTATGGTTTCCTGGCTTTCAGGTTGGTTTGCTGGATTAGGAAGAGATCATTGGCAGCGAAGGTACATTACCATTCGCGCATCGCATAGTGACCTGTGTGAATAGTGCGAGGACAGCATGGTGAGAACTTTGCAAACTCAACGCTTGTCTCTGAAAAAAGCTTGTTGTCTGCACTGTTTCTTGTCGGCGCAAATTTGTTTGAATCTGCCAGCCAGTGATCGACGATACGTTTCACGTCTACACCACCAGCGACAACGGAAAGATCTTCAAGTTTACTCGAGAGGGTTTGAAGCGCTGGGAGTTCCTCCTGGACCAGCCGGGAACTGTCCGCTGCCAGAATCCATCACTCTTCGATGGCAAGCTCTACACGGCTTGCGCCAATGGCCATGTCCTGGCCCTAGACATGGACAACGGAAATAAGGCCTGAGTGTGAAACTTACTTGTACCTGTTCTTTTCAGCTGCATTCAGCTGCCCTTTGGGAAGGTCTGGTCCCGTTGGGTGTTTCCGGGCGGCCTGCCCACAGACACCTACACGGTGAGCGCCACGGAAGCCTTCCTAGTGCTTCCCCTAAGCGACCTTAAGACGCAAGAGTAAGAAAATCGGCAAGATGCACCCCCAGAATCTTGAAAAACGCTACACTTATCTTTTTTGCAAAGCTGAGGATGCAGGGGACATCTTTGGTGGCTCCTGGGGCGTGGCAGTGCTGGAACGTGCAGACGGCAGCCTCAGGCCGTCCAGCTCACAAGACCTCGGGTCCTCTTTGCTCTTTTTGTATCGTTCGCAGGTGGAGCTACAATGTTTCGGAACGGGCCCCTGGGGCCACCGTCATCAATCTTGATCCATGCCTCCTGGAGGAGCTCCCTAAAAAAAAGTTCACCATTTGACAGCTGCGTTTTGCAAGAAGGATTCCATTGTGCTCAGCGACACGACTGGCGGCATCTATCGGCTGAACCTCACGGACCTGCACATGGGGATTGTCCTAAATGACTGTCAATACGGGGTCCTACTACGGGGCCCTAAATAAATTTCCCCCATCTTGGGAACAGTAATTTAGGGAAACTTCCACATGTCCATGTCATTCAGTCCGGCTGTTTGAGATTTTTTGGCAAAGCATGCAAGCTTGATGCAATAAGCTTACTGGCAGCCAGGACGGCTCGGAGATTTGGCGAGTCCCAGGTTTGGATGAAGGATCCTTTACGCTGGGCGGGAAGCTTAGGCTAAGGTCCAAGGACCCAAATTATAGGGTTTCAGGGCCCAAATACTATAGTATCAAAGGTATTTGGACCCTAAAACCCTATTATTTGGGTGATTGGACCCTTAGGTCCAGGGCGGGGCCTTCAGTGAACGCGTGGTCCCAACGATGGGCTGTTAAGCGTGGCTTTGTGATAATGTCACAGCTACGTTGGTGTACGGGCTCCTGTTTCAGGGAAGCCACTAGCGACATTGAGTGATTTCTTTCTTGTAGACTGCCACAGCTTAGGTCGCCATAAGACTGCACTACAAAAGGCATGACAAACGAGGGGACCCCTGGGATAAGAGACGATGGTTGCTTTTTCATTTTCTGTGTTGGATCACGAGGGCAGTATTATGTGGCCTCTCCTGGAGTTGAAGTGTAGCTCACAAGGCCAGCTTCAAAAGATTTGGTTTGCGATAGTATGCCTTGACTAAGCCTTCAGAACCACCGCAGACAGACGGAGAGAGACAGAGTGGGAAAAAGATTGTGAACCTTATGAGGTGGGGTGGCTTGTTCAGAGGGCCTGGTCTTCAACGGCTTCAGTCGAGCGGATGAGTCAGGAGGCGTGAGGGCGCTCTCACTGGAAGAAGGAGAAGTTATTTGGGCCAAGAGCTTGGAGAAGGTGGTCCACAATGCCCCAGCAGTTTCAAAGAAGCTTTATGGTCACGAGTCGAAGGAGCTGTTCGTAGTCATAGGCATGGGAGAGCCCACTGGCCGACCCTTGCCAATTCCTGCCAACATCTCCGGAAAGGTTCTTGCACTGGAGGGTTTGACCGGCAATCAGATTTGGAGCTTCGAGCCGCCTCCTTGGCACCACCACGGCGCTGCCGGCTCCACCTGGGACCAGCTTTGCTTCCCGGACCTCTTCTCAGCGGCCACCATTGACGCCACAGGCGCACACGTTGGCACACGTTCTACACTTCAAAGCTTCAAGAACAAGATTCGCTGTCACCTTGCTTTGAAGGCGTTAGCGCTTCTTGCCCTTCATGCGTCAGCACAAACTTGCCAAGAGAATTCCCAGCGTAAGTCTCTCACGTACCAAGCGGAATGTATTGCTCTTTTATTCCCATTTTGAAAGGGGTGTTGTGATTAATATTATTGTTATTACTATTATTCTTATTATTACTATTATTATTATAGCTTTGCAGCTTTGCTCGGGAAGGCACAGTCTACATCAACTGGTCTGCAGGGGGTATCACCTATGCTCTGCGAGATGCCGACGCCAATGGCCTTGTCTCCATGGAAGACCCCAAGGAGGTAGCAACCCTAAACCCAACCAGAACCAGAACAGCATAGTTTAGGGTTTAGGGGCTCAAAATTCTGAAAATGAGTAGTCGGAAGAGTCCTTCCCTGAGGTCTCTGAGGCAAACCTTAGTTCCGCAGCTACGGGCCCACCTGCCTTGGCTCCCGGGATGCTCTTTGTGAACACATGCCGCCGGCCTAGCGCTTTCTTCTAGACAAAAAAAGGAGCGGTATGCCTGTTTTTAGAGGATACCCTATTTAGGCATGGCACCACCCACTCCCCACCCAGATCTCAACCCCAATATTTCGATATCCACCCAAGATCCCAACCTAAGTTACCATCCTACGGTGTGGGGTTTAGGGCTTTAACTAGAATATACCAGGGAAGCCCAACACCCGAAAATAAAACAGTCGTTGATAGGATGAGCCCTAAAAACGGGCGGTTGGCCCAAAAAGTTAGCGTTTGCCTATAACTCGTTCCTGTAACCACTTCACCAACTCTGGAGGCAGGGTACCACTGGTCCCATCGTGTGGGAGGCCCATGGAACCCAAAAGAATGCAAGACTTCAGAGTCTGAATCACACATGAGATGTTGTTCACATCGGCTTGTTTTGATGTCCTCTGTATGGGGTTCGACTTGTACTATTTCGCAAAATAGACAACTAAGGTCCTGAGAAGTGACAGCACCAGCCGCATTGGGGGGTGGGGACCCTAAAGATTCCCGAGATTATCTTACGTTGCCCGGATGGAATCATACGTTAATGGTGAAATCTTTCGAGAGCCTTAGCAAAGTGGAGATGGAAACATTGGATGCTTGCCGGAGTAGTTGACCAAACCCAGACATCAGGCTCGCAGCCGAGCGAGCAGCTGGGCCACTGTGCCCAACGCAAAGGCAACCAAGCAAGCGTTTTCTCTTGGGATTTCGGAGCCGAATCTGCGA